TTATATCACTACGATGTGATATCACCCTGCTGTGAAAATTACGAGATGATTCTCCTATGTAAATTTTATTACAATTAGTACACGGTATAGAATAAACAACATTCGATGACTCCTGTATTGTGAAAGGATCTTTTGTTTTTGTGTAAAGCTTCGATACTGTTTTCACATTTTTGGTTGTAATTTTTAAGCCACTAATATTTTTAAAGATGTTCATTAGCTTAGGTGTCAGAAATGGAATGTAGGGTAGGCAACCATAAGTTATTTTAGATGGTAATATTGATGCGTTATGTGTCAATGTCATTTGTCGGATCTCATTGTTATGAAAATTTTGGTTGACAGAACTTCTATACCGTGTACTAATTGTAATGGTATAAAATGTAAGGACGTTTGAGACATTAGACAATAATTTGTTAAATTGTATAAACAATCAATTGAAACTAAGTAAAGTTTACAATTTAACACAAACTTAGAACAGCAAAAGAACCATGTTGTTAGTATACATATAATTTAAAAAAGTATGTAAAAAAAATAAGTATTTGCCGAGAAACTAATATGATCACAAGATCACCCTTCCAACAGTAGTATTTTAATATATTTTAATTTTGACTTTAGGTAACATTATTAAAGTGGTTGCAAAAGTTTGCTGTAGTAATCTTGTAAAAAATGTAATGACAGTTACCACAAAAAGCTTCTAAACTTCTTGGAGACACTTGGCAAATGAAACGAATCTATTATTTCGTCAAACTTTATATTTAGCTTCATTAGGAGTGCGCTAAAATTATTATTAAAAAAAATAAGACATAGAACATACAAAAAAAACCCACTCTAAAATAATTAATGGATTCGATCGTAACTTGATGGAAATTCATTTTATGTAACAATAAAACACTGAAAACTTTGTTTTCAAACTTCCACAAAATTTATTTCAACTTATCACTACAGCCGTTTCGACTTGAGAAAGGCAATCAGCCGAAACAGCTGTAGTGATAAGTTAAAATAAATATTGTGGAAGTTTGAAAACAAAGATTTTAGTGTTTTATTGTTATCTAAAATATTTACTGATAATAACAATTTTTTGCTTAGATATTAAAACCCAAATAAAATTGTATAGATAGGTAACCTTACGTTATTTTTGATGTTACTATAAAGTGTTAAAAATATTATAAACAAATATTACTAAGAGTACTAGTGTCATTAATTTATTATTAATGGTATTCTTAGTTCGGTTGATATGACACATCTCGAAAAACAATCTATTTTTATAATTTAATAAATATTGTAATATTTTCACGTTATCATAATCATACTGGTGGTCTGTTTTTATAAAGTGTTCGACAAGAGCGCATGCGTTATTTCATCTGTTGCAGTCACTTTTGTGTTGTGTGATCCACTGTTTTAACCAATGACCGGTTTGTCCAATATAAATCCCTGGTAACCTAAACACGATAATTGATATATAATACTACACGGTATATATACACAGTATAATATATTCTACATCACTGGTGTCTTATCTTTAATTTTAGAGAATATGGTTTTTAATATATCCTCAGGATAACCGTTATTTGGAAACAATTGGAATAATTTTTATTCTCGGATGAAAATTGATTGTCTGTTTTATGCCCTATTCTATTTCTCAGTGCAATAACGGTATTACATTTAGGACTTTTAGGATGCTAGAAGAATAGTTTAGAAATCTTTTTGATGTTTTAGGTTTTTGATACCAGTATAGTATAGTATAATTATTAGATCTGCGGATGACTTTGGCTTTTTTTGGCTGGTTTCTAGGTGTTACTCTCATGCATTAATTCTCTTTCTTTTTTTTCAGCCGAGCATTTTGCAATCCTCTCATGTTCTCATTTTATTATATTGGCTCCCCAGTTAGGTTGCTCATAACTCAATTTGTTAGATGCTTAGCTTTTTTTAAGGTACTTTGCAACATTTCAAGAGAGGGGATATTGGCAGTGGAAAATTGGTATTGTATATATATTGGTAAAAATAGAATGGTTTTAAAGCATAATCATCCATTTTTACTATCAGGCCAACTAAAGAACTTTTTATTTCGCCGTATTAAGTTTTTTCTATTAGAAAAACTGGAAAATCAGTACGCGCTTCTATTTTTATGACAAAATGTTTACATTTTAGTCATAATAAAGAAAACTCACTCATATAATATTTCCTCTACATAATACAAACTATTTATAGATAAAACGTGATTTTAAAATTGCCTTATTTAATGTCGTTTTCTTAATAAACAATCTCAAAGAAGCGGTATCTGGAAGGAAAAGTTGTAGAGTTTAAATCGAATCACGTTTTGAATTTAATTAAAACTGTAATATAAAAAGAAAACAAGTAGTTATTAGAAAAATACAAGAGAGGTTCACTATAAAATGCAGATGTATGGAGAAAGAAAATCACTAAAATCTTAAATTAAACGCTGGTCAAATCTTATGGTAGTTATTAATAGTAGAAGAGGAAGGTTTAATTTATATATTTACTAAACTATGGACCTTAAACGAACTTTGATCAAATAAAAGGCAAATATCGAGCACAGTTTAATTAATTTAATCTTGCCCAAGTACTTTTGATCTCTAGATCATCTTTATTTATATCTAAAATAAGCCAAGAAATTTTTTTACTAAAGAAATTAATTAACTTCGATAAAAACTCGATGGTATAAAAAGTTGATGGTTGATAAAAGTTTTTATGTGATTAACATTTTTAGACTTACTTCGTCAATTATGTTGAGGTGACATGTGACATAAGTCACAGTCATAGAGATGTGATCTGCACATTTCAAAATTCTATGAAACTAAGCGGTCCAACCTGACACTACTATGGAATAGTAGCAGTAACAGTCAACTGATGAAATATAAAATTATATAAAATATTTTAAGTAGATTGAATAATCCAGATCTCACACCTTCTACTTCTTCTTCCTACTTTATAAATAGGCTTAATGCCTGTTTTACTTCGGTTTTTAGCCTCAATTGACGTTGTCTGACCATCTTTTCCTCGGTCGTCCCAATGATCTTCTTCCATTTGGCGATTTGTCTCTTGCTATTCGTACTATTCTATTTTCTGTCATTCTTTCGATGTGTTGATTCCATTCCACTTTTCTTCTTATGTCTGTCTCTTAGAGTTTGTTTTGTTATTTTTCGTAAGATTTTCATTTCTGTTGTTTCCAACAGTCTTTGTGTTTTCGCCGTATCTGCTCTTGTTTCCACTGTGTACGTCATTATCGGTCTTATTGTTGATTTATATATCCTGGTTTTCGTTTTCGTTGTGAGGTATTTGTTTCTAAAAATTGTGTTGTTGAGATACTCTGCTGCTCTATTTGCCACGTTCACTTGTTTTTGTACTTCTTCTTCCACTTTTCCGTAGCTTTACAGTTTTATTTCCAAGTATTCAGTTTCCATCACTTGTTCTAATATTTTGTTATTTACTATGTTGTATGTTTTTTAACATTCTTTATGATTTCATTTATTATCAGATTAAATATTATTGTGCTCAGCGAATCTCCTTGTCTAATGCCAGTTTCATATTTGATAGGTTGCGATAGTTTTACTTTACATCTTACCGTAGCTATGTTATCTTTATATATATTTATAGTTAATTATAAAAGTTTATTAGTTGGTTATTTATAAAAGTTTTTTAGTCTATTAATTCCTCAGAATTCGTTACGACCATAGACGTATAAACATAGATGGACACAGCAATAAGATACCTTTAACACACAATGTTTTGAAGCTTCGATAGAATGTGATGCTTCCGCAATGAGCATAAGCGTGCTTAAATTATTACTCGCGGGTAATTATTCAGATTTTAAAAATTGGAAGTAGTAATAATGTATAAAAACACGTTCAAAGAATTTAAAAAAAACCGAGAGTTTAACTATTAACAAATCACGTCTTTATAGAAAAATTAAAATACAATTTTATTTGCTTTAAAATTAATACAATAAAATATAGTTGAATTCAAGTTAATTTTTAATAGATATCAAAATAATGCTACAATAAATAATCTTTATGTTTTCTCCTAAATTTGCTACCAAAATAGTTCGATCGTCAATATTATTTGGAAACCTACATAGAAAAATAAATGAGTTTTATTCATTTCACTAATTTATTTGCATCCATGAGAAATATTAAATTAAAAAGGTACTAAATAGACCTTTTTTAATCAGATGATGTCTACTTACAATTTAAACATGTCTACTAATTTCAAGAACTTATATCTTATTTAATACATTAATGAACATGAATAAACCCAATGGTACGCCTATTAAAATGTAAACAAACACGCTTCCTCATTTCCTCATCTTAAATAATGTAAATTTTATGTACTTACAAATGAAATGAGAGATCGGAATGTAAATATTTCGTTTATTTTATTTCACTTTTCACAAATATCACTCAAAATACAGCTAAAATATAGAAAAACAATTTTTACTAAAAAGTAAACAAACATGGAACAGCATTTGAAGTTTGACGAAGTTCCATAAGACAGAGAAATGTAAACAACCGTTGCCATTTATAAATAGTTTTCAATGCTTCTACATATAAAATAATTGATTGATATCTAAATTATACGTTATTATTAAATGATAATTCACACTATGTGCACACTTTATATGTGGATTACAATTAAATATATAAATCTAACCAATAAATTATTATTTTGGTTTGATAGCACCTGTAGAGTATAAAATACGGAGTAATATTTTCAGCGATTCAAAAATCGATAAATCAAAGAATTAAACGTTTCTAACTGCTTTGTGAAACTAAAATATTAGACTATCAAAGTAAAACATATGCTACGAGTGCAAACAACTATCTAATTACCGACCCAATTTTCTTTGACTCTCGCCCCTTGTGACGTTTCACTGTTTATTTATAAAACAGAAACGTAACGGTAAAGCGGCTCAAAGAGAAATTTAACGCAGTTGCTCAACTATGAACTGCAGAAAGGAATTTACAATACGGTATTAGCAGACTTACCTTCGGATAGTTCTGCCGGAGCCGTGTCAACAAAACGACTTTGTGAAGCCAGAAATATGAGAAGCACCGATGTCAACAAAGGCCTCTGCATGGCTTAGTTAACCTGAAACAGAAGTTATCATAAGGTAAGCTGATATGCAAAATAAAAGATGGAAATAAAATAAATAGATTTAAATATAAATAAATATTGTGTTTATATGGAATTTAGCCATAATTGATTGTAATGAAAACTACATTATTTAATTGTAGTTTAACGTTTCGATTTCCACTACGGAAATCATTTTCAAAAAAGATTTTTTTAAACATGTGAGCTGTTATTATAAAAAAAAGTTGTTTAGCAAATTAGGCCAGGGCCGATAGTTAAAAAAAATAGCAATATGATGGAACTCACTGTAAAAGGACAAAAATATACGACAAATTAAAGTAAAAATAATTTTCGGATATTCTGAGGTCGGAAAGTGGAAGCGGGTGAGTTTTTAAGAATAAAAATGGGTTTGTTAAGTGTTCCGGAAAAACTACATGTTTTTGTTTAAGTTTTTGGTTTTTTATTTTACCATCCTCACGAAATTTGATAAAAACATATCATTTTATACCCCCAATCACTATAATTTTCTTAATTTAAAATATCTGTTTTTCGTTATTTTATTTTGTAATCGAAAAACCATCGAAATATCTGCTTTTTTTTAAGTTGTGCTTTTTGTTTCTTGAAACCTCTACTTTTTGATAGTGTAAAAATATACATTACTATGACGCATATTTTTAGAAAATGCACAAAAAATGAAAAAACTTCATTTCGAAATTTTTTTAATCGGTAAACTAAACAGTAAGATTATATGTTTCATTGCTAAATGAAAAAAATATAAATTCATAACACATTGCATTTATAGAGATTGTAAAAAACATACGAAAAAAGTTGGTATTCTAAATATTGAAGATACGTTTAAAAAATGATTTTATCTAAAAAAATGTGACTGCTGCAATTTCTTTAAGCAAAAAAGTTGATTTGTTAAATTCTAATTACATTTATATCATAGAGAATCCCATAATATATAAATTAGTAAGACGATTATTAAAATTGTTAGTTATTTCAAATGCTAAGCGAAAAAAGGGAAAAAGACAGAATAGTAATAAAAAAATATAAAGGGAAAACCCCAAAAGAGGGAATAGACAGGAAACTCGCAGAGTGGATGAGTATCCTCGAAACAAAGGGTGAGATCGAGAGGTCTAGAATGGTGCGAAGAGGAAGAAGTAGAATTAATTGAAAATAAAATAAGGACATCAAAGGCAGAGAAAACATGGCATACTTTTGTTTCCAAATTGTGAGAAGAAAACAATGGGGACGGCCTAAAAGAATACAGCTTAGCAGAAAAAATAATAAATATGTGGACAAATAAATAAAGTAGGTACAACTAGTTCTTGGGAACAATGTGGAAAAAAGAAAGAAATAAACTGGTATCCGTAAAGACAACGTGATAGGAAACGGCCCAAGGAAAAACAAATGGATTGATGGATTCGACCGTAACTTGATGGAAATTTATTTTATGTAACAATAAAACACTGAAAAGTTTGTTTTCAACCTTCCACAAAATTTATTTTAACCTCTTATTACTACAGCTGTTTCGGCTGATTGCCTTTCTCAAGTGATCTATTTTTGGCATGCGTTTACACTTTATAGTCTCTAATGAAATAGGTTAGGAGAAAAGAACTGTTTGTCTCAAGTTCGTTATTCAGAATTATATCTGTGTTTTTTAATTTGTTGATTTCCATAGATTCTAACAAGGATAGCTTAAGGCCTTTATTTTGAATGTGAAGAATTTTAAATTCGTCATTAAAAGAATGATTGTGATCTAGAAGGTGAAGTACGTATGTAGAATCTGTTTTTCTATTATTGAAAGCCCTTTTATGTTCTGCTATTCGTTTATTGAAAGGAAATGAAGAACCATCGATCGCCTGGTGATGATGGACTCGTTATCGAGGCAATAAAAGCAGGTGGAGAAATTTTATTAAAATCAGTAAGCGAACTGTTTACTAAATGCTTACATGCGGGTACGATTCCAAAAGACTGGAACAATGCAGTAATAGTCTTGTTACACAAAAAAGGCGATATTACTAAATTAGAAAATTATAGACCCATCAGCCTCTTGACACATATGTACAAACTCTTTATGAAAATCTTAACAAAGAGGCTAACACCTAAACTTGATTTCGATCAGCCCAAAGAACAGGCAGGCTTCAGGGCAGGATATGGCACAAATGATCATTTGCATACCATAAAGATTTTAATATAAAAGTGCGTCGAGTACAACATACCACTGGTTCTTGCATTTGTCGATTACGAGAAGGCTTTTGATTCTGTAGAGTTTGAAACAATACTGGAAGCCCTAAATCAAAGCCGAATAGATTACAGGTACACGACACTAATCAAAAACATCTATCAGAACGCTACATCAAGTATACGACTGCACGAAGACACAGAAAAATTCAGCTTAGGTCGAGGAGTTAGACAAGGAGACAATATTTCACCAAAATTGTTCACGGCAGCTCTAGAGTCAATATTTAAGAGTACTCAATGGCAAGATATGGGCATCAATATAGATGGAGAAAGATTAAATCACCTAAGGTTTGCAGATGATGTTGTATTAATCGCAGATAACTTACATGATACAGTTTCTATGATGCATTCGCTTAAAAGTCTGTCTGAAAGAGCAGGATTAAAGATAAACTTTGAGAAAACTAAAATTATAACAAATCTCGTAATGAGTGGAAATATAACTATTGACAATAATACCATACAACAAACAGACACTTACAAATATCTGGGACAGGAAATCAAAATAAGCAGAGACAATCAAACACATGAAATACAGAGGCGAATAGGTCTAACATGGGCAGCATTTGGCAAATTAAGCCATATTCTAAAAAGTTCAATTCCCATGTGTCTCAAGCGAAAGGTTTATAACCAATGTGTTTTACCTGTACAAACTTATGGAGCAGAGACTTTAACACTCACGCAAAAATCTGCGAATAAACTTAGAGTTACACAACGAGCCATGGAACGTGCAATGCTGAACGTGAGCCTTCGAGACCACATAACAAACCAACAAATCAGGCGAAGATCAGGAGTTCAAGACGTCATCGAAAGAACCACGACGCTTAAGTGGAACTGGGCAGGGCACTTAGCCAGAACACAAGATGGACGGTGGACAAGACGTATTATGGAATGGAGGCCCAGAAATTATAAAAGAAGCCGAGGACGACCACCGACTAGATGGACCGATGACATTAAACGTGTAGCGGGAAACTGGCTACAAGCGGCCCAGTGTAGAGAACACTGGAAAGAACTGAGGGAGGCCTATGTCCAGCAGTGGACGCGATTGGCTGATTGATGATTCGTTTATTAAAATTTCTACCAGTTTGACCGATGTAAGTTTCTGGGCAGTCGCCACATTTAAGTTTGTACATACCACTGTGTAAGTGTTTTTTTATTTCAGCTCTTGTTATTTTTGATATATTTGCCTAGGTTGTTATTTGTTCGGAAAGCTGGTGTTATTCCTTTCTTTTTTATGTGTTTGGCTATTTTTGTTGATATTTTGCCTGTATATGTGATCAAGCAGAAGATACTGGGTTTTTTCTCTGGTGGTGGAAATACTAATTTCAGGGTCTGATTTCGTCTGACCCAGGGGCTCTGTCAGATTTTGAATTGTTTATAGCATGTTAGACTTCAGATTTTAATATTATTGGAGCTTCCTCGTTATTAATTTGTGTTGGTTCCGTTCTCGTGTACATGAAAATATCTTCAATATATTTAGTCCATACCTGATTTATTTAGATTGGGTTATTAACAGGTTTATTGTTTTTGTCAATTAATCGTTTAGGTGTATTTGTATGCGATTTACCAGACAACTTTTCACTTTTTTATGTAAATTATAATGATCATGCTTTTTCTGCAAATCTTTCACTTCGATGCATGTTTCCAATGTTTCCATCATCCACTTTACCTTATCCTCTTTTATTTTGTTCCTTAGTTTTTATTAACCCAAATTAACTTACTTAATTAATCTTTCTCTATTCCACGAGGAAACTAAGTTCCTGTAGCTGGCTGTATACCATATATCACAAAAAATTGTTAAAATCCTTTATAAAAGGTATATAAAAATGCCCCAAACGGGCTATCACAAACACATCGCAAAACGTTTTCGGATTAAACAATCCATCATCAGTTCAAACGGTTGTACATGCTAGTAGCCACCAAAATATATGGGTCAAAACCCTTTAAATGTTTTAAATTTGTAGTTGTTTTACATTATTAGTATTTATAATTTGTGATGTTTAAGTTACCGTTGGATAGGTAACATGGCGGCGTATGACTCTACATGAGTAAATTCCAATTTACTTCTTCCCTTCTGAAAGATGCCATGATGGTTGCCAATCTCCGCTGCAAAGATAGCGCGTAAATAAGAAGAGAATACTTTTGAAAACGTTTTGTGGTTTACCACTGCAAGAGATGTTTTCATGAGTTGGGTAGGTTGTTTTTAAATATTGATAAAACCATGTGATGTTTGTCGTTTATAGTAATTTAACTATAAGAAAGATATTAATGATGATATAACGACGCACACATCTAACCTTAAAAACCCATAGAATGAACTTCGAAAAGATATATCTAATGACCAAAGTACAATAGGTAATACATGCAATTGTTAGCTTTCAATTACTATTAATATGTCTAATAATAGGGTTTTTACCTGGAAAGTTTTAATCTGTGAAGTCAATCTGGATACTTATTTCGAGAAATAACAGATTTTGTAAATTTTATAAATCATCCAAAATGATTTTATGAGAATCCGTTATTATGCAAAAATAAGAAAAAGCTTAGTCGTTACAAGAAACGTATATGAAATTGCTGTAAACGAGAAATAAAGTTAATTTTATAAGGCCATAACGCCATGGGCTGTAGCAAAATATAGTAAGTAAAAGTTAATTAAAAAATTAAAATGCAACAACAAAGTTCTTTCAGAATAGATCTTCTCTCTAGAAACTTCGGGTTTTCGCAGAACACATATAAGATAATCTTGCATATATGTTTAAGATAATAAGCTATTT